AGAAGGTCTCCCCTCAGCCTCCTTTTCTCCAGGCTGAACACCCCCAGCTCCCTCAGCCTCTCCTCACCAGACTTGTGCTCCAGACCCCTCCCCAGCTCAGTTGCCCTTCTCTGGACCCGCACCAGCCCCTCGATGTCTTTTTTGTGGTGAGGGGCCCAGAACTGGACCCAGCCCTTGAGGTGGGGCCTCCCCAGTGCCCAGTACGGGGGGACCATCACCTCCCGAGTCCTACTCCCCACACTGTTCCTCATCCAGGCCAGGATGCTGGTGTCCTCCTTGGCCACCTGGGCACACTGCTGGCTCATCTTCAGCCAACAGTTGACCAACACCCCCAGGTCCTTTTCTGCCGGGCAGCTCCAGCCACTCTGCCCCATCCTGTGGTGCTCCATGGGGTTGGTGTGACCCAAGGGCAGGACCCGGTGCTTGGCCTTGTTGAACCTCATCCCATTGGCCTCGGCCCATCCATCCAGCCTGTCCAGATCCCTTTCTTAAAGTATGAAATTTTGCAGTATATCATCCTTAGGTAGATTACTCTCCTGCTGCTGATTTCTGTCCTGCTGCTGCACCACCACCAAGACAGAAAATGGGTTTTCAATACCAGCCTCTCTGAATTCCCCGTGTGATGTTGCGTCCTCTAGAAAGGCAGGTTAATTAGTGACTCGAAGCTAGAAATGACTTTTCCACCCAGGTAAATGTGCAAGCTTTTGATTTGACTGCAACGAAGAGTTTTAACCATAAAGCCCTTCACAAAGAGTCTATCAGTGTGAAGCACATTTTGACTTTTCTCATTTGTTTTTATTCCTGCTGTCTGCTTTTCTCTGGAATTGACTTAAAACTTGGGACAAAAGCGCAAAAAAAAAAAAAAGGACCCAACAAAACCCCAGAGTTATTCATTTAGAAAATGTCGTGCAGCGAGTGAACAAAGGGCAGTTTTAAATTGAGAGTCCTCAAGGGAGCTAAACACAGGCTGGCTCCTTTGCTCTAAATTCTCCCCTGAAATTCCATATATCGCCAGGCCCTCTGAATAGGAGAGGGTGGGAGAAGGCAGATGGGAAGCTGGCTGAGAGCTTTTTGTCCTTCCTTGCAAAAATCAGCCCTGGAGCCAGCATTTCGGGGGGAAAACCAGCTGCCCAGGGGCTGCTTCAGGTCCTTCAGCCCTTCAGGGGTTTGTGGAAAATATTAAGCATCTGTTGCGGTGTGTGTTCTGGGTAGAAGAGATGGGAAATCTGTCCTAGCATTATTAATTAGAGATAATAAGGCTGTGTGGAGGTGGCCTGGGTGCCTCCTGTGCCTTGGACAGGCAGGGTGCTGGGGTGGGGTGTCCTGCTATGGTGCCATCTGCATGGAGCAGTGGCTGCTGTGGGGACTGTGGCAGGGCTGGTGGGGGTCTGAGGGGTCTTTCCCCGCTCCAGCACATGCCTCTGTGTCGTTTGTCTCTGTTCCCTCTCCGGGGGTCCCTGGAGTGGCCCCTCCTGGTCACCGCTGGAGAGAAGAAGGGCAGAGACATGGAGTTGAGCTCCATGGGATGGAGCTCGTGTTCCCCACGGTCTCCCCCGTCCCACTGAGCTGCCCTCTCCAGCCAAGGGACACGGTGGGACAAACTCTCTTGTGGGCATTGTGTCCTACCTCTCTCTTTGCCCACATGGTTGGCTCCTCATCTTTCTGAGAGCTGCAGAACAGGGACAGAAGAAGGGTCCCTTTGGTGCTGCTTTGTCACCCTGTGTCACCTGAAGCTGGTGCCAGGGGAGGTGCAGTGGCCTTGAGCAGCCTGGCCTTCAGCTGTGGCTGGACCCTGAGGGGATTTGCCATAAACTGGAGCGAAACTCGTTGATTGCTTTATTAGTTCGATGGTTTTAATTGCTAATAGTGGAGGCTGGGTGTCTGTAGAACAGCCAGGAGAAGGGCAGGACCCAGCAGAGCTCTGGCAGTTCCTTCTCTGGCTGTCACTGTAGGTGAGCTCCAGCCTGCAGAATGATCTCTCAGCCCTTGGCTGAGCTGCCTCTCCTTTCTTGAGGCCCAGATCCCTCTTGAAATAACATTACTTGCTCCACTTGAGGCATTTACCTTCTTCCGTGCCAGTGCTTTACTTCTGGATTTGTCACCTGGATCTCATTCCATCACCTTTCTTCTTCCAAGTTTTCCTTTGGAAGAGTCAGACTTCCACAACTTCTCAACGTGATCTGCCCTCTCACTCCACTTTGAGCCTCTAAATTACTGAAAAACAAGAAGAGACAAAAACATCCTTCAGTGCAGGAAGGACATGGACCTGTTGGAGCAGGCCCATGGAGATGCTGGGAGGGCTGGAGCCCCTCTGCTGTGGGGACAGGCTGAGAGAGTTGGGGGGGTTCAGCCTGGAGAAGAGAAGGCTCCGGGGAGACCTTAGAGCCCCTTCCAGTACCTGAAGGGGACCTACAGGAAAGCTGTGGAGGGACTTTTTACAAAGGCAGATTGTGATAGGATGAGGGATAATGGCTTCAAACTGGAAGAGGGGAGATTGAGCTGAGATGTGGGGAAGAAATTTTTCCCTGTGAGGGTGGTGAGAGCCTGGCCCAGGTTGCCCAGAGAAGCTGTGGCTGCCCCATCCCTGGAGGGGTTCAAGGCCAGGCTGGATGGGGCTTGGAGCAACCTGGTGTGGTGGGAGGTGTCCCTGCCCAGGGCAGGGGGGTAGCTCTGGTGGTTCTTTAAGGTCTCTTCCAACCCAAACCATTCTGCGATTCTTCGTCTGCAGGTAAATCTGGTCCTGAATGAAGGGAAGTCCCTGGGCCTCATGATCCGAGGAGGGGCAGAATATTCCCTGGGCATCTACATCACTGGTGTGGATAAAGGTTCTGAAGCAGAGAGCACTGGCTTGAAGGTAAGAGTTACCCCCGAGTGGGCTGGGGGGAGGTAGAGCTTCACGTGCTGTGGCTGCAGGACCATGTTGGCACGTTCCTGCCCTCAGCCCCCAGCCAAGCGGGGCTCAGTGGAGAGGTGAGCATTGCATTTCTGGGGATGGCTTCTCAGGGCAGGTTCTTTAGACATTTTGGATACTAAACCTAGAGGGAGCAAGGTTGTTGTGCAGAGAGAAACGCAGCCTTACAGCTTCTGGAGTAGGTTGTACTTGCCTTCTGCCTAATTTTCCCTCCTTGAGATAGCCTGGGGGACATTTTTGGTCTAGGTATCTGAGAGTGCAGCCTAGACCTGGCAGGTGAAGAAAGTCACTCTCACCTCCCTGAGCTGGCAGAGAAGAGTTTTCCATTAAAGCTCCTGGTCCTGTGCCCTCTTCCTGCATCTTGCATCCAAACTCATTATGTTGGGAGCTCGTCTTTCGCACAAGGTGCTTGTAGGCTGCCTGCAGGGAATGTGTTTAGCTGCGGCGGTGAGGGGAGGCCAGGCTTGCTGCGGTGGAAGCAGGTGTGTGCTGGTTTCCTCCTGCAGTGTTGGCACCGGTAAGGACCATGTCTTAACAATCAGAAGCAGCAGAATCACCCTCAGGGCTAGAGAAGATCTGATCCGTCAGCAGCCTAATTTGGTGTGACCTCCAGCTGCGTCAGGCTCCCTCCAAAGTCAAACGGGCTCCTGAAGGATGCTCTGTGGGTTGGCTGAGCCCTTCTGAGGATGGACTGGTCCAGAGTCCTACAGTTTTGCTGCAGACCTCTTGTAAAGCGGGATCTGTTTCATCCCACTGTGTACACATGCATGCACATCACCTCCAACTCCTCCATCCTTCCTGCTGCACCAGCTTTCAGAACAGGATGGGACAGCCTGGGACCTCAGCTGTTCCTGGAAGGGGGCATTTAGGGTGAAAATTGTATACTTTCTAGGACATACACCAGCAAAATAAGTTGAAAAGGGAGCTGTTGGACTTTGGGTGCAGCATCTCTGTGCTGCTGATGGATGGGGCATGTTTGAGACTCAAACTTCCCAGGTTGTAGTGTTTTACTTCATCACTCAGGGGTTCTTTCTTGGTGTTTTTTCTTTCTCTCCATTTTTTTTCTCCCTTCAATCACATCGTGCCCACTTTGCTTCCTTCTGTGCAATCTCGTGGGCTCTGAGAGACAGTGCTTTCCCTGCTCCTTGTGTCAGGCAAGAATCGATGGATGTTGAACTCCATAACGTTCTCTCAATCCCCTGAAATGATGCTGGGCTGCTGAGGATCGAGGGGTAATCTGCCCTGATCCCCTCTCTGTCTTGTGAAGTGATATGTTTCTCCCTTGATCAGCCCCAGAGAGGTCAGGGCTAAGCCTTCAGCTTTGCTCTGGTGGCCCCATAACATCACTTAAATCTGGAAAAGCTGGTAGCATGAAGTGAGTGGACAGTCTGGTGGGAAGGGCTGGGATTTGGGCTGGGACAAATGCAATCCTGTCCCCTCAACTTGCTCTGGCACAAAATGTTGCATCTAACCGGGCACTGAGGTCACCAGGGTTCCCTTTATGGATAAGGAGACCTTTGTAGGGGTAATGCAAGCCCTTCTGAACTTAATTGTCTGCTGCAGGCTCCTGTTTCTTTCTGCTGATTCTTTTTGACACGGAATGAAAAATGCTGAACTTGGAGATTTGGATCAGTCCGAGCCTTAATCTCTGTCTTTGTCCCCAGAAAATTGGGTTTTGGACCCTGCCGTGTGAGAGGGTCACTTAGGCACTAGGGATGAGGAGCTGTGGGAGCATCTCAGGGAGATGGCTTCAGGGCAGTCAGAAGTGAGAGCTGCTGGTGAGGACATCCTGCAGACCATCCTTCTCTCCCAGTGTGTACGTTACTGGGCTGGCCACCTCGCAGTCACTCTGCCTGCACACCCAGCCAGGGTACACAGCACAGGACAGTTTCTTTCTGCCTCATGGAGCTGGAAGGAGAGAGACTGGCTCGAGCTGCCCTGGGTGTCACACAAGTGAACCCATCTGAAGCCAGCCTGTTTGTCCCCAGTGCCTGCTGACCCTGTGCCGGAGTGTCAGAGTCCGTCCCAGAGTGTCATAGAGTCATCTGGATTGGAAAGGACCTATAAGATCACCAAGTCCAGCCATCAGCCCAACACTGCCCAAACCACCACTGACCCATGTCCCTCAGCACCACATCTACCCGCCTTTGAAATACCTCCAAGGATGGTGACTCACCACTGCCCTGGGCAGCCTATTCCAAGGCTTGACAACCCCTTTGATGAAGAAATATTTCCTAATATCCAGTCTAAACCTCCCCTGGTGCAACTTGAGGCCATTTCTTCTTGTCCCATGGCCTGTTCCTTGGGAGAAGAGACCGACCCCCCCTGGCTACACCCTCCTTTCAGGGAGTTGGAGAGAGCCAGAAGGTCTCCCCTCAGCCTCCTTTTCTCCAGGCTGAACACCCCCAGCTCCCTCAGCCTCTCCTCAGGAGACTTGTGCTCCAGACCCCTCCCCAGCTCCGTTGCCCTTCTCTGGACCCACTCCAGCCCCTCAATGTCTTTTTTGTGGTGAGGGCTCCAAAACTGGACCCAGCCCTCGAGGTGGGGTCTCACCAGTGCCCAGTACAGGGGGATGACCCCTTCCTTAGAGTTCTCATAAACACCAGAAGCCTGAAAAATTAAAGACAGGAAAAGAAAAAGAAGTTGCACTGTTTCCCTAAGGTTCTTTCTGTATTTTTCATATTTAGTGCTTCCGTCTTGCTCCAAATCCCTCTCTTCGCTGCACGGGGGAAAATTGCTGCTTTTCTTTGTTCCGTGCCCCCTCCGGGGAGCTCAGCGCAGCTAATGCCACGCTGCAAACTCCTACACGCAGGAGAAGTCACAGCAGCGTAACACAGGGCTTTAACCCTCCACCTCTCGTTTCGTGCCTGCCAGGAAGGCAAGAAATTAATGGCAGAATGATAGAATTGTAGGGTTTAGAAGGGAGACAGCAGCGTAACACAGGGCTTTATCCCTCCACCTCTCGTTTCGTGCCTGCCAGGAAGGCAAGAAATTAATCACAGAACCATGGAATTTTAGGGTTTGGAAGGGAGCTTCGAAGATCATCTCGTCCAACCTCCTGCCAGAGCGCTGTCATCCAGAGCAGGTTGGACAGAAACATGTCCAGGTGGGGTTTGAATGAATCCAGAGAAGGAGACTCCACCACCTCCCTGGGCAGCCTCTTCCAGGGCTCTGCCACCCTCAAAGGAAAGAAGTTCCTCCTCATGTTCAGATGGAATTTCCTGTGTTCCAGTTTGTGCCCGTTGCCCCTTGTCCTGTCACCAGGCACTGCTGAGAAGAGCTTGACCACATCCTCTTGACACCTGCCCTTCAGCTCCCTTGGGGGAGCTTGAGCCCATCCTCTTGACACCTTGCTCAGCACTGATGAGGTTCCCTCTCAGTCTGCTCTTCTCCAGGCTGAACAGCCCCAGGTCCCTCAGCCTTTCCTCAACAGAGATGCTCCAGTCCTTCATTGCCACGCTCTTCTTGATGCCCTCCAGGATGCCGTTGGCCTTCTTGACTCCCCAGGGCAGAGCAGAGGGGCAGGATGACCTCCCTCCACCTGCTGGCCACGCTCTTCTTGATGCCCCCCAGGATGCTGTTGGCCTTTGTGGCCACCAGGACACATTGCTGGCTCATGCTCATCCTATTGTCCGCCAGGACTCGCAGTGCTTTCTCCTCAGAGCTGCTCTCCAGCAGGTCAGCCCCCAACCTGTCCTGGTGCACGCTGTAGGTGATGCCTATGGAGTGGTGTGTGCTGCTCCTCTGTGTCCCTTCCAAGCAAGGTCCCAAGTCTTGGGACAATATTTACACACAGGAGCCTTTGCTTATAGATTCTTTACACCTCTCTCCTTGCTCTTGTGTTTTCTAGGAGCTGATTTGTGTGTGCCAACAGGCCGATGCTTTTCTGAATGTCAGGCTTTATGTGATTTCAGATACGCACAGACACTTCCCGCCCTGATTTGTGTACGCTGCAGGCCAGAAATTGAGAGCTTCTTGGAGGTTTGGAGATAAAGAAGGGCCTTTTACGTTCCGCTGTTAGACGCGGTCGGGTGTAGATTGCATCCCCTACACTGCTCCAGGTGCTGGTGGAAGGGATGTCATACCACCAGGAGGGAAGAACTGATGGGTAAATGTGATTTCCAGATAATTTGTTTCTCTCTAAAATAGAAAAATTGTGGGTTTGTTCCACGTGGGCTCAACCCAACCTTGGTCGATGGGAAGGTTCCCGCTGCCTTCCCAGGTGGTGGTTCCCTCTGGGGGTTTTGCTGCTTTCACTGAATTTGTTACCAGAGTTGTTCGAGTGGATTCTGCCCAGACATTTTTAAGGAAAACCTTCTTGCATCTGTGGCACCAAATGAGAATTTTTGAATGTTATAATAACATGTTTTCCATTTCCCTTGAATTTTGCTTAAAGGGCAAACACCACGATATTGAAAGCCAGCCAAAACCAAGGAAGTTTCTCTCCGGCCCAGAAGCTAAACTGGCTTTCTCTGGTTGCAGAAATGGAGGCTGTGGTCCCGAGAAGTGGGTCCCAGAGGGGACCTGGCCCTGCTGGTGCAGGGACTCTTGTGCTGCTCCCTCCAGCTTCCCAGCCACGAGGCAGAGCGCTCTGCAGGAACCAGCACAGAACAGGCTGGATGGCTGCAGCCAGTCCATAATGAATTATTCATACTCTTGGCCTTGGACTTGTTTATGTTTATTCATTCATGAAACTTCTGACGATACGTTCTTTGGGCCTGTTTTAAAATAAGCTGCCTTGATGGAAGCTCTTGGGCTGGAAAAGGGTTAGCAGAGGGCTGCAGAGGAGGAAGGTGAGGAGTCTTGTTTGCTCTCGGGTTCTGTCCTTCTTGCCTCCTTCATGACATTCGCAGCGATGCCATCCAGGAGCTGAGCTCCTTGTGCTGATGTTTGTGGCTCTCCTCATCCTGATTTCTTCCTCATTCGTTTTTTTCTGATGGTGT